GCGCAGGATCTGCCAGAAAAACTGAAGGGGCGTGCTGTCTCATACCGGAGCAATTGTTGGATCGAGCACATAATGCTGGGTCAATAAAAATTGAAGGAAACGGCAATTTGCTTCACTCGACGTTTGTTAAACTGGATGATACGCTCATTGCTGGTGTATATGCAGCTCCAGGAGTTACTGATGGCTGCATTCGTTAGTTCCTATCCAGGATCTGCACTGGATTTGGATGAATAATTATCATGGGAGACTTCAGTCGTAATGTTAGCGGCACTTACAACGGCGCCTTTAAAGAAATGGTACAGCACTTCGGCTTATCAGTTAGAACCTCGACAATGCTACAACAGTCGCTAACACTACACTGGATATCATTTGCAGCAACTTCGAGATTGCACATGGCACTTACTTGTCATTGACCAGCTTCCGTGAACCGATCGGGGCTCGATATGAAGCTCCACGGCGAGGCAGTGCCCTTTGAAACTTGCTGTATGGTACAGCAGTGATAATACTTTAATTTGCCTTTTGTGATACTAATTGTGATCAGTTTTCATCTTTTCTTTAATTTCTACATAATAATGAAAATAAAAATAATCATATTCCAGAGTTTAGAGAGTGTACTTGTTTAGCAACAAGCACTATCTTTCACAATTGCTTATTTCAGTATAGACAGGGAGTCATTGTAATAATTTCTAACAGTCTTGGTGGCCAGTCCCAATTCTTTTAGCTAGAAGCATCTACCGGAAAGAACGTGCCATTGGCGAAAGAAACCTGCGGGGGAACTGTGCAAAAAACGCATTCTCATACCGGCAGCCGGTACGCTTTCGACTAAGTTTTGTATACTAACGTAATTCATATCAGTGTAATTTATATTAATGTAGTTTTTAAACTTAGGTTCGTCGCTTTGTGAGGTCTGCCGAAAATCTGCGTAAACAAGTTTTCATATTTTCCAGTAATCTTTTTTCAGTTTTCAATTTTAGCTGACCTTAGGCGCCCATTTTCGAATTTGCAAATTCTTACAATCGTTAAATTTTGTAATTTAAAAAAGAGATATTTTTTCGTTTCACAAATTCGCATTGTTCTAACATTTTTGTTGTAACAGGCTGGTGCCTACGCAGTCGGCCGAAGATGCTCATGAATTTAATGCA